GACAGCACGGCATCTCTCTGCCTAGCTCACACATACTGCTTGGGAGCTGTAGCCAGAGCATCACTGACCTGTCACATTGCCTTAAAGACTACACATCAGCACCTTGGCTAGACCCATTTACATTGCTTAAAGCCAACTGCCAGGCTAAGAGAATGTCCTAGCCAGCTCTGTACATATCAACACACAAAGGTAGGGCCAAATGCTCTTCTTTCAAGCAGAGCCATCCAGGTGGTCCTCCACATGGTGGTCCTCCAGGTTGTCCTCCACAGAAACTATTCTTTGGATTTTTTTTCAATTCACTTAATCATTCTTAGCACAGAACAAGAACCAGGCTGAGTTTGGCCCCAGCAGGCATTATTTGCTCATCTCTGGACTAGCATAATGCCTAGCACATAGCAGATGATGCTAGCTGATATCAAGCATAAAAGCTGCCTTATACACAGTAAAAACCATTACAAATAATCTTTTAGAAGCCTCTTGATTTTCTGTCATGGGTTAAAGACTGCCAGCTGCTGTCCCACCATCAGATCATGTCAGTATCTTTAGATACAGCTCACTTGAGTTTGTGGACTAAAAATCATTAAAGTATTGGATTCAACTCTTATTAAATCTTCAGGCTAGGTCAAATATTAATTCCTTTTTTCAATAGAATATTATGTCCTTCAGCTAAAACAAAGTAAGTTAACTAAATTTTCAGAAATTAGAGAAAAGTGAAATCAGTGAGGAGGCTCTCTCATAATCATATTCTCTAGATCAGTTCCTATTTAATTGTGTTTATTTATTTATCTATTCATTTATTTATTTTTAAAAATTTTTTAATTTTAAAAAATAAAAGAAGGAAAACATATTAACAGACAGACATCCATTTACAAAAGAGCAAAAGAACAATACAAACAAAATAGAGTTACAGACAAAGTTGTAGGAAATTAACCATCGTTGTTGTATTACTTATTGATATCTTCAAAGTGGTTTCTCAGGAAAACAAATAGAGACATACAAGACTGATCAAACAAGTAATCATTTCTTTCTACTTCCTATGTTGAAGGTCACTTTCTTTGTTAAGAAAAAAGAAGCAAAACAGTAGTCCAAAAGTTACATATTTCGGCCATCTGTCGCAAACATAGTTTCGACAAAACACCTGCAGACGTTTTCGCTCCCCTTCACCTCCATCAGTACTGGGCTTCTCCCGCCCTCTGCTTTTTCCTTCTTGTGTCTTGGCTGTGTCTGCCTCTCTCCACCACACAGCATTTATCTCAATGCAGCCCATTCTCCTCAGTCATGTTTCTTTAGTACCTTTTTTTCTCATTAACTTTATATGTGATTGTAATTTTAGATAGCCCGTGTTTCCCTACCTACGCAAACAAGGGCAAAATGGAAGCATATTGTAGTAATAAATAGCATTTCACTTATTGATTTCACCCCAACCCTCTACAGTGATACTTCTAGTTACCCTCAAAGTCTCAAAACAATGTTTCCAGGAAGTTCTTAGATGATATGATACAGGTGCTCACAAAGAAGTCATAGTAGTTATCACCTCTGTCTGCCATGATTCTTTGCTACTCTGGGCTCCTTTGGTGATGTCTGTGGCCAGGAGCTGTGCTTCCCATGAAGTCGATTGACAGTGCCTGATCACTGCCTCTGGTGCTGGTGTCTGTTGGGTACCACTACAAAGTGGCTCTGAGAAGGATTTAATGTTAAACGATTGGCTTTCCATGTTTACTTGTGAGTTGTCTGCAGCTTAGGCACCTTGTCTGAAGATGGGCAGTGGACTCATAGTAAGTAAACCTCTGTGAGTCCCTGGTCACCGCTGAGGCCTGTAAAGCTGTGACACCTCAAAGGAAAAGATAAGGCCATAGTGAGGACGTTTGGCTACAATCCCAATTAACTACAGGGAGACTGTAGCTGCAAGCTCCACACTCCTACCATAAATACCAACTAAAGATAAATTAGCTCTTCTGATTGACATAATTTACTACTTGGGAAAATTCCCCCAAGGTTCTGTGAGATTCCCATGTTTTTCTGAGTATCCTCCTCCTTTGTTTGAAAACCAAATAAATACGGGCTTCCCAGAGAAGTCTTTGGCTAAACTCAGAGAATATCGAAGCTGTAAGAGAGTTAGTCCCTCCTGGAGCCCTGAAATCATTTCCATTGTCTCATTTATTTAAGCCTTTGCCATCCACTCACTTGGGAGATTGTGGGCCTGATCAGCCTGCAGTAACTTAGGGTTATTTAACCTGATATTCGATAGGTGTCCACCATCACAATGGTGTGTCCACACTACGAGATCCTGTAACTACAACAATTAGAACCCCGAACACTCTTTTTTTTTTTTTTTTTTTTTTCCGGTACCGGGAATCGAACTCACGACCTCGCAGTTGCTGTGCCGCTGAGCTTGCCAGGCAGTTGCTGTGCCGGCAGTTGCTGTGCCGCTGAGCTAAATCCCCAGCCCCCCGGACACTCTTACTATTGGTTCCCACTGCTGCAAAGAGATACAGGCTGGCTTCCTCTACAGCTACACCCTTGGGGCTGGTCTCCCTGGAAGACAGTGAGTGTAACAGTGGAGGGTGGGAGGCAGCAGCTTCTGGGTGTAGCTCAATACGCTGAAGCCATGCTGCACCTCATAAATGAGACCAAGGCTTTTCTCCCTTGTGCGTTGTCATCAGTAGATGAGTAATACTATAGGGCTGTTTTGTGATCATAGCTTATTGAAGCAGAGCTTTCATCTCTTATATTCCCTAATAGCCTATGGGTTTATGGAAGGTAAACCACAGACTAAATCCAAGTGCCCAGCATCAAGCTTATTAGTTGTTCCTTCCCTCTGGCCTGTTACTGTTCCTATGTAACAGCCCGATATTCTCTTCTTTTGGAATGAATTCTTTCCCCAGGAGATTCCTTTTCCTCTCACGCATAAAAATGGAAGATGCCTGCCCTGTCACTGCACACGCAGGCACGTCTGAATGCATGCCACTGGTGAGCAAGATCTAGAGTCAAGTCAGAATCTCCACCAGCACTCTACCCCTTAGAGCCTCTCATTCTTCTGTTTTTCTTTTTAATAACGTTGGCCAGAGGACAGTAGTTATTTTTACTCTGGGCTCTTAGAAAATCCAGGCCTTCTAAAACGTTTCATATGTTTTTGAAGTAGACATCTGTTGTTTTGTAAGCCTCCTCAAGAACACTGCTCCGTCAGTTCTGCCCTCACGCTCATACATCTGTCTCTCCTCCCCTCCACTCTGGATCACCCCATCGCAAATTTCTCCCTTTAAAAAAATAAGAACAAGTTCTGCTGACCCCAACTAGCTAAGCCCTTCTAGCCCCATTCACTGTTCCTTTGTATTGCAAAATACATAGAAATAGGCTGTGTTGTTGTCATTGTTAATATTTGAGTCTCTCAATTCCTATCATCTTACTTTTTTGTTTGTTTGTTTTTGGTACAGGGACTCAAACCCAAGACCTTGCTCTTGCCAGGGAGGTGCTGCCTCACTGAGCTACAGCCCTGGCCCATCTTGCTTTGTCTTAAAACAGATTGCCATGGGGCTTTCTTCACTGTCACACCACTGAAAGTATTCATGCAAGGTCTC